ACACACACACACACACACACACACACACACACACACAAACGCTCTGACTGCAGCTACATGCATACCGAGGGAGACTCCTGCATGTTGCGGGAAAACATACTCGGTCCAAAAGCAACGCTCGAGATATCCCTCTATCTTCGCAATTTATTTTTCCCCGTAAAGTACACCATTAAGTACTACGCTGCACGTTCACGGTTATCTATGCAAATTTATTGTACTTTTATTATAAAATAATTTCCCGATTGCACATTTGTCTTCGCGTCACTCTCGATACGAGAAATCTAGCGTTCAATCCTTGAAGAAATGAGAAAATTACTTTTTATTAATTTAATTAAGCTTAATCTGACTGAAAGATATAAAAACGCGTCTCGCATTTTCCCAATTTCCATTTTTGTAGTAAAATTAAAACTTCTAATGCGAGATTTTTTACCATGTTTTTATGTGTTAATTAGTGATAAAAAATAAATAAGAGAAGTGAAAATAAATTGAAATTAAGGTACACCTGATAAATTAAAATTGTTTTTGTATACGTAACAATTCTACTTTTATATCTTTCGATCAGATTAAAAATGCAGCTTAAATTTGAATTAAAGTTAGATTAATTCTCTCGACTTTTTTTTCTTTTCTTCCTTCCTGAAGAAGGTAGAGAAAGAAAAGAAATATAGACTGCTGTCGCGCATCGATTCCTTCAAACAAGTTCCCCTACTGCACTTCCTAGGCTCACCTTTCGCGGGTGCGGTGACTCTGTTCTGCACCGTGGACTGGATCGGGTGCTTGTCGTAATTAGGGTCTTCCACCTCCTGACAACGGTAGCTCAGGTTCCTCAGGATGCACACACAGTTCTCGACGATCTTGTTGCCGATGTTGGACTTTTCGATCGCGGAACGCACGACGTAGAGCAGCGCGTCCACCAGGCCCTCGCACTCGCGCAGGTTCTTCCGCGCGTACTCGCCCGCGCTCGATACGTTCCTCAGCACGCCGGACGCGTTTCTGAACACGGTGGACCAGCAAGTCTCGCCGCTCGACGAGCTCGGGTCCCAACCGCTGTGAGGTATTATTATGTTGCTCACCACCATCGTCACGCCATCGTCGATGATCGACCTCTTCAGGTCCTGAAATGCATGTTAAAAGTTAGCAGAAGTCAGAAGAACTATTAGATTTCAAAAGAGCAATGGTAACCCAATTTCTTGAATTATAAACAATGTTTTATTATTTTTAACTTCCATAATATATGTTAAAATGTAAATCGATCCATTTCTATGATGAAATTGCTTAGGTTCAAAGTAAACAACGTCCATGTTAATGTAATAATTAGTAAATGATGAACTAAATATTTAGGTCAAACTGAATACATTTCTTGAATTAAATTGTTTAACTCTATTATTTTAATTAAATTAACATATTGAATAGAAATAGTGGCGACCTATAAGAATGATTAAAAATAATTCAAATTAGATATAATTATAGGTATAATTTGACAATGAAAGAACAATAATTTTATTTATTAAACTTTCAACATTCTGTATCAGAAACAGGGCCTTTGAAGTTTGAAATGATACATGAACTTTTCTTCATAAAATGAGTTCAAAAATCAACTCCCAAAATATTAGACAGTACCTAAGAAACGCTCAATGTAAACAAATAGAGGAGCACGAAAAGTTTCTCTTTTTTCTAATTTTCCTAATCGCGCGATGAAAGGACGCACTTCGAGGGACCGCTTACTTCGCACGAAGACAAGTTCCACAGCACTCCCGTGACAAGCTCCTTGACTTCCGCATCGGACGTCCGTCGTAGCAGGTTGATCAAAGACGGCACGCCGCCCGCATTCTTGATCGCGCGCTTGTTCTCGTCATTCTGTCGTCCATACGACAGATTCCGTAGCGCGCCGCACGCGTTCCTGTACACGTCTGGATTGTCGTGGTCCAGCAGCTGCACCAGCGGCGGTATGCCACCAAGGCTACGCGTCTTCTGCTTATTTGGGTCATCCATATAGCAAAGGTGCTGCAGATACGCAGCCGCGTTTGCCTTGATTATATTATTGGGATTGCTCAGGAAGCCGATCACCTCAGAGAGATTCGGATCCCGCCAGCGCATGGACTTCTGCTCATCGTCGAGTGGGCTCGCCATACCGGGCACCACCGGATGACGCGACTGCAGCCGTTGGAGGTGCACCTCGTCCTCGAAGATGCCGGGTGGCACAGCCGACGTGAGGGGCACTCCCGGGTGGCCTTCTTCGTAGCCGGGTACATCGCTTGGCACTGGTCCCACCCCCACGGCGGGCACGTATCCCACAGGACCGTACGGCGACGGTGACACGTAGCCATAGGCCACTTTACTCTCATCTGCAACGGAAAAGGCCATCGATTACTAATCTTGGTTACGATTTAATATCGTTTTTATCGAAGTTGTCGCCCAAAGGAAGTCTCACTCTCGAAAGCGCATAATTCACTTACGTTTATCTCCAGCGATAACTGCTTATCTTTGCACTTCAAGATTCGAAGATATTAATGTCATTCAAGAGATACACATGTTGCTTTGGAAAACAACATATCGTATAAATTATTGGAAATACGACGTAATATGAATATCGTTAATCATTTATATCCAAAACTTTTAGTTGCTTGTGACAATTATTAATTTTAATTGCAATTTATGACAATTTATGACAATTATTAATTTTAATTGCAATATATACTTTCTATTTCACGAATATATTAATGTTCCATTTAATTTCATAAACGAAACGGACATTGAAAAAAGAAGCAATGTGGTTTCGAATTAAATTCAGAGAAAATTATATCGCGGGTCAGAATTAAAATATAATTTTGTCGTGGCAGATTAAATTAAGTCTCTTATACGTGCAACGTCTGTCCGACTTTACGTAATGATCACGGAAAAAAGATAACGTCATTTTTCAATCGCATTTAATAGAAAATGGATAACTTTAAGAATATATTATAATTCGGAATTACTAAAAATATACAAATTTTATAAATTCTATTATTATGTCTGAGTTATAAAATCTGATGAGTTATATTATAAAATCTGAGAACAATTCTCTTATTGGTTTAAAAGTTATTTAATTTTTTTACTTGCCTTGGATCTTATGTAAAATCACGTGCAGTGCTTATTTGGAAATTTGATGAGGAAATAGCATTAGGAATTCAATCAAATTTTTCATGTATACTAATAAAACTAATAAATATTCTTGCAAAAGTTCATTTGAATCCACTTACTTGTTTAAAAGTTATTTACCTAACTCTGCAGCAAAGTATGGTAATTGCACTGCAAGAGCCCCATTAAAAGCTAAATAATTAATTTGTTTTGTTTTTTGCAGTTGGTCTCAAGAGAAAAGTCTTTATGAAAAAAAATCTTTTTACTGATATTGGCTTTTTTAGCTACTTTTAGTTGATAATGTACAGTCAAAACATTCAAGTACCATTTTATCCTTCTTTTATTCCCGTAATGTTAAGTAAGGAGTAATAAAATGATATTTAATATTATAAATAACAATGTAGTATCACTTTGGTAACTACTGTTAAATTCATAATGTCAAATTATACCAATTTGAGTTGTTTTTAATTGTTTCTATAGATCACCACTACTCCTACACAATATGTTATTAATTTAATTAATAAAACAACGATGTTAAACAATTTAATTGAAGAAATTATATTAAATTTGACTCAAATTTAGTTTATTATTTACTCAATATGTTAATAATATTTACTTTCAGACTACAGAAATGAATTGCTTTTAACTTATATAGAAGTTAAAAATAACAAAATGTCATTTAACTCAAGAGAATTGGGTTATCACTGTTTTTTTAATATCTAACAATGTAGAGAGCATTCGGGAATCCGAACGTATAATAAGTGACATAAAGTCACAAACGAAAGTTCAAGAGGAGGGAATATTAATCCACGTTTTGATATTAAAGAAGTCATTTAACAGATGGAAGGGGAAAAGGAGACCAGAGGGACACAAGTTAGATAAATGGTGGATGTGACCTCCACCATGAAGAAGATGTTGAGAGGGCTCGCCGGAGCCATCCATATTCCGCGTGCTGCCGATTCGATCTCGAACGTGGAGTAACGTTCGGGAGATAATCGAAGTGAATTATGCGGTATCCTCGTAGTACGAGGGAGTTTTTTTCCCACGTGACACGATCTGATCGCGGTCACGTGAACGCCTGGGTGAACGGCGCGCTAAAATCGAATTTGCCAGCCGCCCTGGCGAACACGAGACCTCCTCGGATCGCACTTGTTGCAGTCTGGTCCACCTACCATACTGATCCCCGGGACCGCCTGGACTTGGAGTAATGCGATAATGGTCCTGCAAAGCGGGGTTTAAGCCGGGGTCGATGTCGTTATAGCTACCCTCCACGTAGGGTGCACCCTTGCGCATGTACTCTGCGGAAAACAGATCACCGTGTTTATGTTGTTATCGAAGATTCACTTGGTGCGCCATCTCTCCCACGAGACGTCGTAGAAATAAGATAACGTCTTCGAAACGGTTACATTTAATCTCTCTCGGCACGGAGAAAAAGTTTTGCTTAGAAATTATCGTTTTATTTTTGTAATACTAATGCTAATTTTAAACTTTTAAATTACCTTATTTACAAGAGGTAGACAAAATAATGTGAAAATACCTGGAAAGTATTTGTTTCATTAATAGGTCGACCTATCATTTTTCTTTAATACAAACTTCATTTTTGTTAGAAGATAATGCTCAAATAGTTCATTGTAATTCTTCTAAGAACATTTTCCAATTGTTTAAAAGATGTTGGAAGAAGAAATTTATTTCTTATTCTACTCTCCAAAGCTCACAATGATGTTAGGTGATGTTTCAATCAGGCGATTGCGCTGACTAAGAAAAATGTTGAAATTTTAAAGAACAGACGAATCTTGAAAAAAATAGAATGATTTTAAAGTGTATTAAAGGCGAATGAAGACAAGCAAGTAATGTGTACTTCCAAGGTGTTCACATTATTTTATGCATCCCCTGTATGTATATATATATATATATGAATAAACTTTGAAAACAAATATATATGTATATCCCCTATTGAACAGAATATTAAATTGAATTTAGTATAAAAAAATTTTGTTGATATATGACCAACCACAACTTTTTTGTTGTCCTAATCAAAAATTATTCTAGCCAAAGTTTTAGAACAATAAAAAAGATGAGGTTGTCACAACATCAGTAAGATTTTTTTCTGAATATAGCCTTAGCTAAGAGTACAAAGCACAAATTGATAATTAATGTTACATATTATAGTATAATATCACTTGTAAATTTTAAATTTTTAGATCGTCTTTTATACATGTATAATATAAATGTATTAGGTGTTGGAATTAATTCGTAGCGTTTTACAAGTGATGGGAAGTACTTTCATTAATGTATTTTTTAATGCTCATGTGAAATAAATAACATTCTTTCATTAAAAACGCTACGAATTAATTCCAACACCTAATATAAACTTGTACATGACAATAAACAATATATTAAATTCAATTTAATATTTCATTCAAGTTTACATATTACCATATATTTATACGTATAAAAATTTGTTGGATATATATCATGAACTAAAAATTTAAACTTGACAAGCGGCATTACATTACAATAAATAATACATTCGTTCAATTCTCTCATGGATAAATTTGTCACTGACAGTGCTGTTTACGCTGTTTACGACAGCTGAAAGTAATCAGATCGGAGAGTGAGAAGAGATGAGTGATAGTTACGTACCGTGTGGCGGCGAAGCACGACTGTGTTCCGACGGGCTGTGGGGGCTGTGGGGAGAATGCGAGCGTGGCATGTAGATGCCATGGGGTCCCGGGTATCCTGGCTGTGGCGGGTAGCCCAGGTACGGGTCGTAATGGTCGAAGCTGACCATGTACGGGTCCGCGGGGTAGCGCGGGTCCGCGTGCTGATAGTCTTGCGACATTAACGGCACCGACATGTAACTGACCGCGCCCGGATCCGGCTCCATGTGGGAAACCTCACGCACGACTTTCGTCACAGTCGTCACCTGAAGGAAGGAAGCGCGCCGTCAGTCACACAAAATCTCGTTCCTCTCTTTTTCGCGCGTGTTCACTCAACGGGATTTTCGCTGCGCGAAACATGTACGCTAATACTACGCGTTCGCGCGTTGTACGTAATGCGATTATATCGACATCGACGGCGGGATTAGATTTTCGAAATGGAGCGCGACAAAAGTCCCGTTGATTTCAGATAAAATTAATCGAGCAAATTCACTTTTTTTTTTATATCATAGATGTACGTTTAAGAATAAAAGAGGTGAGACAGATATCGGTGTGATTGAACAAAAAAATCTCTCTCGGCAAATATGTTTGTAACATGAGTACGATAAATAAAATGCTATGTAAAATATAACGTATATCAGGATTGTCACAAAATTAGAAATCAGAAAAATCAGGGAAATGGAAACGGTCAGAAAAGTTAGGGAATTTTATAAAATTTTCTGGAAAATAAAAATTCTTGACTTTAAAGAAGTTCAACTTAGGTACATCGCACCTACACTGTTTTGAAATACTACTTAATAATTAAAAAAAAAACAAGTAATATCAGTAAAATTAATAATAATTTATATTATTATGTTAAATTGGTCCAATAAAATATTTGACGGTTTTCAAATCAGGACGAAAATACAAGAAATTTCAAAATTATTGAAAGTCAGGGAAAAGTTATGGAATTTTACACTCAGAAAAAAATTTTGTTGATATGTGTGAGCTAAGTTCTAAATATACCAAAATAGCGCAAAGGTCCTCTATTTTGAACTTATTAATCATATCCTATACTATAATAATCTATTAAGCGCTTATTGGACTACAGACAACTAAATCGAAATGGCAATCGAAATAGCCAATAGAAAGGTTATCGGCATTTTAGCTCAGATAAAAGGAATATGCAACTTTGGTATATCTGGAGTTTTAATATGACCAACCAGATTAGAATAATCAAATTTTTGGACAACAAAAAGGTTGAGGTTGGTCATATATCAACAAAACTTTTTCCTGAGTGTAGGATAGGGAATTTATGATAATCCTGTGTATAAAAATTATAAAAAACATAACAAATATCTAAATAATAAAATAATAAACAAAGAAATTTGAAATGTCCTTCAATGTCGCTCTACTGATCGTGAAGAGTCGCTCTTGTAACTTGACGACAACGAAGGGTGAGTGAACTTTCGAAAGGACAAGTCGCGCGTGAAATATCGGTCGGGAAAATATCGGCGGGAGTCAGTCTCACTTGCTGAGAAGTCTGTTGCTTGTGGGTCCGGATAAGCAGCGGATCCTCCTGGACGGACAGATGAGACGAGTGCAACGAGTGGGTGTCCGCCTGTCCGTTACTCCCATGGTAATCCGTGTCGCCCTGTCCGCTACGGCAGGTGAATCAGAGAAATGTGAGATCGACGGAAGTGCGTACGTGGCGTTGCGTGATATCGTAAATTACTATAGTGAGCTTACGTGTATTGCGGCATGTCGGGGGCTTTCTCCTGTAGGACGCGTCTGAAAACGAATGTTTCTCTTTAGACTTGTTATACATCCTACGGAATGTGAAGAAATCCTCTATAAAGTATACTGTATTGTTTAAGAGAAGGAAGTTGGAAGAAAGTGAGAAAGAAAGAGGGAAATACTTTACGATAGCTGATATTTTACAATACATGAAACTAAATTCTACTACGTATTATTTATTTTCTGATACAAGGATATAGTATTGTTACACTTTGACTGTCAAGCTGATATTGGCGTTGAGCTCTGGAATGTCCAAAGTTGAAAAGTGCGCGATAGTTTATAAAATATGAGTTGGATTGCAAAATAAATAAAAAAAGTAATAAATAGAAAATAAATATGAAATCTATATATCTATATATATATATATATTTACATTTATTATTATATATTTAATAATTTCAGAAGGTATAAATAAAAACTATTATTCACAAACCGAAGTAATATATCTTCTTTTGATTAAAATAGAGATAAATATAAGAGAAATTGAAAAAATGAATCATTCTGTTTTTATATCTAGTACGTTATTTTAATATTTTATTGTCTTTTTAATGCTTTAATGTAATATAATTTGCGTATAATTTTTTATACCTCGTGAAATCATTTTAACTGGGTAAAACCATTTCAAACAGGTGACAGAGCTCTTGCGGAAACTCACACATCACTCAGATGTGACATGACAGTCGAAGTGGTAATTTTACGGCGGTATTTCATTCATGTCTGAAATAATAATCTATAACTGATCGGAATGTAGCACACGCAACACATACAAGAGAATGACATGAAACAGGTTATCGAACTTGCAGCCGTATTCTTCAATCGATTCAGGATTGATCTCTCCTTGGCGAAGTTTTACTACGATCCATTTTAAGTTTCATTCAAATAGATTAATTGATTCCTATTAATTAGGGGGCTTAATTGGTATTAAATCAAGAATAATATCTTTTTCACAATGTATAATAGATTAACTTTTTTTTTAATCTCGGCTTAATTTACTTTTTTATCTCTCTCTCTCTCTGTCAAGGGAACGACCAGAAGTGGAAACGCCCCAGTCGACACAAACTAAAAGTAATATAACACGTGATGTTACATAATAGTTACATTATTGAGTATGAAATTATAACATTGATATTAAGTTACTTTTAGTTGTCGACCGAGGCGCTTTTGAAATGCGGTTTGTTGCAAAAAATAGTCTATTGTGTTCACATTATAATCCCATACTCTAACTTCAGACACCCCTTAGTTTTTTCAAAAATTAATAATATATTGTATTATAAAATTTATAATCAATAAATATAAAAATGTTGAAGTCATTGTATATCTGATTAATTACTTGACAAGATAATGGACCTCAAGCGAAAGAGGAAAAAAAGTTATAAATGTTGCAATGTTCTAGAATCAATTGACTTCTTTCCAATACATAGATGATATAAATACAGTTCGGATTAATACGTTTTCATCATCATCTCGACAATGCAGTTAGACAGTTGTACTCGGGTTCGCATTAATCTGAACTGTATTTATAACGTGCATTAAATGAAAGTCTATTAGTCCTGAAACTGTAACTTAAGTTTTTTCCTTTTTTAGCTGAAAGCTATTATCCTGCTTAAGTGATTAATCGATCCGATAACATCGAAGTTACTATATTTATTTAAAAAAAAAATCCAGGTGTCCGAAATTAAAGTTTGGCATTCTTAATAAAAGCACGAAGGATTATTTATTGCAACTACAGATGTAAAATTCTGCCAGATATTCAATATGACGATTACTCACATTCAAATTACAGTAATATTAATAATTTTGATAAAATTGTTTGCTTTTTAAGATCTTATATGCACAAATAACTGCGTACATGATTTTCGCACTAATGCAAAAGATCAAACAACATTCGTCTCATCAAATCTACTCTCATGAGTTGATGGAACTACATTTGAAAACAAGCTTTAGTATCATTGAAGTCTTGCTGGTTTGTTGTTCTCAATGAAGACTCTTCTATAAGTATAAACTACTCGAAAAATACATAATTGAAACTAAGGATATTCTATTCTGTAATTTTTAATGACTGAATAAGGATATTACATCATCACTGCACAAGTTTTATACTAAAAAAGCTACACAAAGATAATGTAACGATATCGTTACAGTCATTAAAAGTTACAGAATAAGATTTTTAATATCATTCTTCTTAAATTTTTGTACATAGTATGTTCAAAATTTGTTGAAATTCCTCTAATTTTTATGTACTTTCCTAATTAACTGCATGCTATATATACATATATAGTAAATATATCAATATAATATATAACATATAATATAAGAATATTGTATAGAAAAAAAATATATATGAAAATATGAGTTAAATAAAGTGTTATAATTTACCGTAATTTACCGACTGAACGAGATTAGATCACTCTCATCTCTATTTGCAACAAAATGTCAAAAGCGTGCTTCCACTTCTGTCCCTTCCCTTGTAAGAATTAGAAAAAGATAAAGAATAAATTAAACCGAGATTAAAAGTTCATACACACTGAGAGAAAAATTTTTTGATATTTGTAACTATAATTACATGTTACTTATAATTACATGTAATTACGATTATTACTGCTACAATATATATTAGTAAATATATATAATTACACTCAGAAAAAGATTTCGATATGAGACCAACCTCAACTTTTTTGTTGCCCTAACCAAAAATTTCATTAGAATAATCAAATTTGGTTACAAAAACAAAATTTTTTTGTTAGGACAACAATATTCACATATTCCAATAAAAACTCTAAAATCACACATATTCTTTGTTGTCCTAATCAAAAGGTTGAGATTGGTTATATATCAATAAAACTTTTTTCCAAGTATTAGGTCATTTAAAAAGTATCCGCGGTTTTTTGTTCAATTTTTGAATGAAAAAACCGCGGATACTTTTTAAATGACCCAATATTATGTATAAATTCAAAAATGTTGCTCTCAGCTACTGATAAGAATAGATACCAGTCATTTACAAATCATCTTTCCGCAAAAGAATCGATCGAAGAGTACGCAAATTATATCGTAAATTCCGAAAATCGTCTGCACGACGACGAGCAACATTTCGTGCGTAATGAAAAGCAAACCAAGTAACGAAAACAACACGAGGGAATGCAGGCGGCTATATAGGCGTGACGGATGATCTCGAGGAGAATGTTGCTAATTTGCAACGGAGCATCCTTCTCCTCGGCCGCGTTCACTGCGGTCATGCTAAACGATTGTGCAAACATGCTCGTCGATGAAGCGGCGGTGTTACTCACTCCGAAAGCGTTAACGTACGTCTTAGCGGGTTTAACGAATTAGAAATTACACGACGATGCCAGATCAATTAGGAGCTAATTAAGGTCGCGCTGCAATTTAGAATGCGTTCGTAACGCTTTACGGCCGTGGAGATCCTCGTGATAACAGCCGTTTCGCGATCCGCAAATTGACATCCTTTGTACGACTTTATTATTCCAATTGTGGCTTAATAAGATTACGTACATCGCCGTTTTTGTAGCGACAGCAGAGAAAATTCGCGGGAAGAATTCGTCTCGTCGATTAGTCGGCGGTATAAAATTGACTGTACGTTCTCGAGTTTCGGCGTGAGTAATCGCATGATTAATGCATGTTAGTCACCTCTGCGTGATCTCAGTGCGAGTTATGTTGTGCTCCTGTCTCTGCTCAATCCGGCGATTCACCAGCCTAATGTTGATTATTCGCAGAATTATCAAAATTGTCCGCTTGTTTACTCAATTGTTTACTTTCGGGGTCTAAGCTCCTATTCTATAATTCTTATAGGACGGGTTTTTCATTTAACTTGTAAGTAGACTCAATCTGATAATGTAAAAATTGTACGCAAGCGTAATACGGTAACAATGTCATTCCGTAAGAGCGTTCGAACATTATCATTAATTTTACATTACTATTACCATCGATTTTTATTTTATCGCGCTTGAGAACCACACATGATTTAAAATTTTAAATTTACAATCGTCGTTATTGAATTTTATATCATGTAACATGAGAATGACCAAATGCAAGTTGAAACGTTTGTCATTTATTATTAAAGAGTATTAATTCTAGCGTCGAATAACTAATTGTGATTCGTGGCCTTTGTGACATTTTAGTTTGATTTTTAATGTTGAGCCTTACATTGTTTCCTTATTGTAAAAATTGTATGTTTCTAGCTATGATCAATCATTAAACTGATAATTTTGTAATGAGTAACTTTCAAAGTCATCACTAGGAAACTATCAGCTTAACGATTAAATATACAACTAGAAAAATCATTAAACTGATGGTTCTGCAGTGAGTAATTTATAAAGTTACCGCTGAAAAACCATCGGTTTAGTGATTAACTATAGAAAAATCATAAATTGATGGTTTGTGTTAATGAATAATTTTTACAAAAGCATCAGTTTAGTAATTAATCATAGCTAGAAAGATACAATTTTTACATTATCATCAAAGTGTGTTTAATTCTAAACCACAAGTTAACCAGAAAATGAAAAATCGGACCTAAATGACAGTCGACATCGTTACATTGTCGTTGCAGTTTTTTTTTTATAATGTACGATGCATTACAACGACAATGCAGCGTCATTACAGAATAGGAACTTTAGTGTCATTGTAACTGTCTTTTTCGCCGGAGACGCACCATCGTGCGGCCTCGGGGACTTTTTAAACGATCGCGATATTTAAATATGGAGGGAGCCGGTAAGTTCGAATCGACGCAACTTGAAGCAGAGTTCGCTGAAAATCCACGGAGAAAACGTGGCTTCGTTGTTTATTTACTATCCCGAAGCTTAAAGCGCCGAAACCTTTTTAATCCTTCACGTCACGTAACTTTGTAATTATGCCTGAATTATCGCAAAGGAAAGTTAACGTCAAAGTCGTCAGGGAGTAAGACTGGAGTTGAGTTTACTACAAGAGCCCGAGAAAATGCCTCGTGAATTACTGCGAGAGCTTACTGCGAGAAATAAGGGGCTGCAAATTTTTTAAGAGGAAAAAAAATTGTCGAAGAACGAGAGCTGCCCGAGGTGTGTAAAAAGTGCAATGGTTTATGGAGATCAACGCGATCAATGATAATGAATGAATTGGAGGTCGAGTAGTATTACGGGATACACAAATGTTATTAGTTCCTTTACACGATAATCGGTGAAGCGTATGAGAATTTTGCCGCAGTCTTTATCGACAGTTTATTTTAACATAGAGAAAGACACTTACAGACAGGAGTCAACCAGCTGATTATTTGACATACCAGCTGATTTGCGTCTCTCGCTCCCGAGCAGTAGACGATGTCCCCTGCAAAACAAAGAAATAGGAAAATCTCTTTTTGTAACTTTGAACACGTCATTCAAGAAAACGATCTTATCTTATACTGAGAGAAAAATGTTTGATGTTTGTGATTATAATTGCATGGTAATATAATTGCGATTAGAAGTTTCATTAATATAGTTATTATTACTATAATGTTATAGTAGTCATATATTTATAATTTTACAAAAAATATATAGTTAGCACCGAAATGAAATAAATTGTAGTCAAATTATAATAATTGCAATAATTTTTTTCTCTCAGTATATCTATATTTGCATATGTTCCATGAAAAATTGTTTAAAAACGTTCTATTTTATTAATTTATATACTTTTAGATATTAAAGGAACAATGATAATCCTTGAGTTAAATAACATTTTGTTATCTATAACCTCCATGTATGTGCACTTGTTAGTAAATAACAAATTAAATTTGAATCTCATATTTAATACATTTTTCTGAGCTAAATTGTTTAATTCCATTGTTTCAGTTAAATTAACGACACATTGAATAGGAGCAATGGCAACCTGCAGAAATGATTAAAAATAACTCAAATTGGATGTAATTTGATATTATATATGAATTCAATTCCTCCGCCGGCAATGTGAAATTTTCAACCTTTATTCGCAACTTGGGTTTTCAAATTTCAATACAAATTTTTCTATTGTTCTGTATAAAAATCTGAAAAAATTCTTACATATTTGGGAAAGCTTTAAGTTTTTACTGTCGTATAAGTTGGATTATATTTTATTTATTTTTTACGGATTTAAATTTATCAAATTTACAATAAAAAATCGTGCTTTTAAAATCCAACATTCCATCAGCGGACGATTAACAGTGTATATGAGATTTTTTATCAGCTGACAGCTTAACATGAGTAACATTTGTATTCAAATAAAATCTAAATCTAGAATATAAAACTCGCATTTCTCTGTATAGATAGAGAATAATTAAAAATTGATAAATCACGAATTTAATTACATTTAATACGAAGTTAAACCGATAGCATAATATTGGTGCTGTTATCTTTTCTTCATCCGGTTATCGTAATTCTTCATTTGTATTACACCTCGCGGAGCGCTCTGGCGATTGATTTAGGTGCTGTAATCCGTAATTAGTTGTTGGCCCACCGTATAACGATCTCACCCATAGGTGGAGAGAGAAATCCTTTTAATTCATCACCTAACACGTCCGAGACCTTCCGGGCAACGATTAATTTCTCGCCCGGGCAGCCCTTTTATCGCGCTTTTCGATTTACCGCGGATTTTCCGAGACCGGCTACGAAAACCTCGACGTAAATTAGTATCCATTGAGAAAGAAAGATTGAAAGAGAGAGAGAGAGAGAGAGAGAGAGAGAGAGAGAGAGAGAGGACGAGAGGTGGCTTTGGGAATCGTATCGCTCGCAGTGCAAAATAGCTCGCGTTATTCGATCGTCAAGATACACAAGTAATAATTACTTGTTTCAAGCATTTCAAAAGTTCATATAGCCACAAATTTATTCGAAATATTCTGAATCCTAATAAGTTTGATACTTTAATCAAGATTATTAAATTAAGACAATGATTTGCTTGTTATACAAAGTCGCTCCTTCGATTAATTTCATAATATATTCTTCAAAAGAAAATAAATTCTTATTTTGAATGTTTCCAAAATTTGTAATAAGTACACTGAGAAACCCATTTAATTGAAAGAATTAATTTGTTGTTTGGATATGGGCAAACAAATTCTTGGTGCAATAAAATCGAATAAAATAATTTAGTTAAAGCAAAACATTTGGTTATTGTAACATTTTACTTGTTTCTGGTAAACATTGGCATCGGATAAACTTGTTTATCAGAAACAAGTAAAATGTTACAATAACCAAATGTTTCAGCTAAATTATTTTATTACATTAACCAACGATTCGTTTGCCAATGTCCAAACGAGAAATTAATTAATTCAACTAAATGGATTTCTCAGTGCATACTTTAAGGATTATTATCATGCAAATATTCTTTGTTAAAGATAATTATTTAATCCCTGATTCTACATTTTAAATCGAAGACATTATCCAATAAAACTATTTAATTCCATCAACATCTCATTTGAGATTTGCTGTATATAATAATGTATATGTTGACTAAAAAATAATCAACATTTTGAAAAGTATTAATTGTTTAGTACGAATTACTAATTGAAATCCGAAATGAATTGAATTAAAAACGATTTTTTTAAGATGCTCCCAATAAAAGCAGATGAAGAAGATAAAAAGGAAGAAAGTAAATTAAATAATCATTTTTCCTTAGCAATAGAAAAATATTTGTCTGTGTGTAGAAAAGGTAATCCGACGAAAGTAATCCGGCGTGTTTCTCTCGCGATAAAGAGACTGTCGACTTTGCGAATAGATCGGAATAATCGAGTGGATTGCGATCAACGGTGTATTCCGCAAAGAGAAAACAGACGGAAAACTCCCTGGTGGGAGGTGTGGGACGACAGACCAGGGCGATAATTAATTTATGCCCCAAATGCTTTATTAATGAGAGTCACTTGATTGCCAGTGGCGAAATGAACACTACCCGCCGCAGTGGAAAAATAACGAACCCATTCCGGTTATTGTTTGGCCGAGGAGTACACTGTATGAATTTGCGATCATAATGCGTTTAATTTACGCGACGCCTCGGCATAAAGTTCGCTCGCGAGATGTGGACGTGAGAGAGCAAAATTTTCGAGCAATTAGATTGATCCGTTTTATTTTATATCGATTCAGGATAATTTCAGCCATAATTTCCTGCATCTTATTATCAATCACTTTGCCATTCACGTTCGGCATTTTTATTAATGTTTTTCATACCTTTTTATTACAAATGGGAAGTGATATTTTTACACTATTTGTTCTCGTTCGTATTTCACATCCTCTCGTTTATATACACCCGAATATTGTGATTTACGTACACAGTTGGAAAATTTGTGTTAAATTTAACATGTGTCGCAACACGGTCCACTCAAATTTTTTTGTGCTAATTTAAAGGGATTCTCTAATAAATTTTTTTTTATCTACGCGATTATTTTTCGGCACGCTATTTTCTAATTGCAATTTACACGAAATATTTAATATCAATTAAAAATATTCAAATAATCACATTACGTTAAATTAACATTCAGATATGTTGAAAACGCGTAAAATATAAAATTTCATAAGAACACGATTGGACCGGTTTTAACACATACAAAAAAACTTCCCACTGATATTTATTACATTGCGATTTGTAATTTATTATTACCAGCAATTTCACAAGCCGTTGCGGAGAGGTACCGCAATTTCCGCGTGCCGATGTTCCCGCAAGCGTAAAGTGAAATTCATTCTTAAAGATTCATCTCGTCGTTGCAAAGGGGAGAGTCATAAAGACCCTTACAAAGGCTTGTAAAGGCGCTCCTAAAAGCGCGCGAAGGGGAGGGAGAGGCGGTGACAATTCTCGTGAATTAATAAAACGGTATATTAACAATCATGCGCGGATGGCGCGTACCGCATCGCGCCGGAAGCGGAAGCGGAAAAGAGAGGAGGACGAGAAGGAGAGATGTGTCCGGGCGTTTATCCCCGCCTCGTCGCGCGGGAGGAGAAAAATCGCGAAATCGTCGTCGCGGCTCGCACTGAAAAAAAGATGACCTAAAAATATATTTGTGTGAGAAATATATTTATTTCACGGAAATAAATATTTATTTAAATAAAATTTTATTCCTAGCAAATAAGCCATCTATTTTTTTTTGCAATTAATGAGATGTATTTCACAGAAATGAAATATATTTCGTCGTCACAATCAAATTTCTTAAGTAATGTTTCGCAATACTTCGACATTTTTCTCTCAGTGCGCTGAACGATGCCGTAATGCGGATATTTAGTGCACATCCGAAAGAGATATTAAACACACACACACAAGAGAAAAATGCTATATTCGGTCGGAGGCGGTTTTCTTTCGATTTTCTTCGCGCCTATAATAATATTTCTTGCGAATTTATAAGATTTCCAGTTCTGGCAAACTGTGCGTCGATTATTTCTCGATTTATTATTTTAAAACACAATCCTGAAGGCGTAAAGTACAGCATAACTCAATTATTGGATGGTACGACAAAAATTTTAAATATTAAGCTTTTAACGACATACATATATGTACTTTAAATAAATTTATCATTCATACATTTAATAAGAACGAATTTATTTAGAGTCGTATATATGTCATTAAAAGCTTAATATCTGTAAATAAAATTTTTGTGATTTTGTATAATAAACACGGGTTTACTAACTGATACATTTAACTTACACTGAGAAAGATACTTAAAAATTCATTGATGAGAAATATATTTATTTCACTGAAATAAAACTTTATTCTTAGCAAACAAACCATCCATTTTATTTTTGGGAAATTAATGAAATATACTTCACAGAAATGTATATTTCGTTATAAAATTTTTTCATAATTAATAAATATCGAGGATTAAGTGTAACATTCGCTTCGCAATACTTCGACGTTTTTCCTCTCAGTGAATATGACAAATTAAATTAACAAGCAATTTAATATTACTGATGCAAATACGCACCTTGGAAAACTGTTAATTATCTGACGCTATATTAAGCATCTCAAAAACTAAAAATAATTTTTTTACACGATATCACTTACACAGGCAAATGGCGTCGCGACGCGTCGCGACGTAAAACACGAGGAGGGGGATGTTCCCAGTTTCGGTAACAATCCTGCGACGAGTAATTCGCCCTCCCCTTCGGATTGAAACAGTTGAACCGTTAATTACGTCGGATATCCACCGGCGTTAATTTAAAATTGCCATTAACGCCGCGCGCAATGATAGAAAACCAATTACTGCCGCATTTGGACGATAATGAGAAATAACGTATGGTGGAGGGGCGAAAGGAGAGGGAGAGGGACAGGAAGTCTCCAAGGGAAACGGATAATCCTTTGTTAATTCATCTGGGTGTGTAATAACAATTTTTTCATCCGCTATAAAGATGCGGGCGAGAGAGAAAGATGATTATTAGCCAAGGATGTAATTTACCGGGATTATCTTTCGAATTTAGAAAGTCTCTCGTGACACTTAAGTAGAAATAACGCGATACGAAAAACGACGGTGAGAGAAACACGCAACACCATTTTGTTGAAAAAACATCGATTACCGACCGCGTTTGATCTGCTTTCGACTGATCTCCTCTCGATAATCTGCTTCGGGCTAATAATGTCCGCTGTATTTGGCCGATTCGCCGCGGATCGGTGGTTTTTTTAATGGGATTTCGCGGTCGATTCTCACTCTCCCCCGACCGCCATGATTTTCGTTCCGTCTGTTGAATCGCGTAGTGATTGATAACAAATTTTTTTACCGTGCATATCTCGATAATCCGCTCGGAGGTAATATA